TTATACCGTTAAATTTTTATTGAACTCAATCCTTCCATTCTTTCCCGCTATGGGGTTTTCCTGGGTGTTTGAATCTGTGCCATAAATTTATCTATCTCAGCATTTGGCGGCATTTGTTCATTCACAAGTTAGATTTAATTTTTTCATGGACTCTAGGGCACAGATTTATTAGTGATTATTGAAAAAGGTATGTTAAACAGTAATTTGTAAATATAATGTTTTGTTCTACTCTAAGAATTTCATTTTTTGTTCATTATGATTTATTTAATTTTCGTTTTACTTTCAGTATTATTTATGGAAATAAGTAATACGAAAAACTTATGTTACAGCTAATTACATTTCAGATTATTTAAGTTATCTTGTTATTTAATCCAGAATTATAGAAATATACTAAAGAGTTATAGGATCTTTTATTGTTTCAACTACATTTTGAAGTTATATCCCCATTTAGATTAGTTATTTTGTATTATAGTAATTTTATTGAATGAAAGTGTTTGTTTTAAGGATGTGATTTATCATTGATTTTTATTGTGGAAATATTAAAAGATAATGTAGTAATACTAACGTTTAAGACTGTGCATTTCAATATGTCTCTCATTAAACAAAGTAAAAAATTCATCATTCAACTTACCTAATGGGCTGCTTACGCTATCGATATTATTGAAGCAATTTAATTGTAGGAAATATATTGGAGTGTCTCCTTACACCTGTCAATTGTATTGAATCAATATTATGTCACTCAGGATCTTCTATTTTCAAAGAAGGGATTACCTTATTTCATTTTTCTGAACATAATATAGGGTTTCCTAATACTATAATTTTCTTAGCTTGACATTAAAAATAGAATTAAATAATAAAAATATCTTTTTTTTATTGTTACAATTAACTACATGTCAATCCATGAATACAAATTTCCACATAACTACAAATTAATTATTTACCTATTTTCTATTATGAATTATATAGTTATGAGAATATTTCTATAATGTATCTCATAATTTATTCACTCTATAATGTTACTTTAATATTTGTGTGGTCTGTGAAGTTTATTTTGTTCCTCAACATTAAAATATTTCTTGTTTCAAATTGGTTCTTTTTTGTTTTCTAATGGTTTAATTTTTAAGAAATAGTTTATAATAAAAAGTTACTATTAAATATTGTATATAAATTAACTTTTGAAAAAAGTAATATTAAAACAGTTAAATGGCATAAAATATAGTCATTTTTCTTTATTCAGGAGGAGAGTGGGGACTGATCACCTTCTCCCTTCCCGCACACACATACCACTTGGTCCCCCGCCCGCTCTTATCAAGAGTATTCAAAATATTGTATTACTCTGGACCTTTCAAGATCCTAGATCTGTATATATGATTTGATATTACTTAATATTGCATGTGTAGTAATGTTGCCTTACATGTGTAGTTATATTGACACTATTTCAATACAATTAAAAAAAAAATTATACAACCAATTTGATTGACATCAATATAAATGTTACTAATATATAGTACACTTACACGATCAATATATTGACGAAAATCGATATTGATCATGTTGGGTCTTTAAAAGAAAGCAGCCTACTATATTTTTCAGAATCCTTTAAGTAGTTCAAGGAATTGTCTGGTGCTCAGTCATATATAATTCTTCATTTTATTTTTACTTTTATTCATAAGAATACAATGTTTATGTAAGTGGTATGTAATTTTCCCCCTATTCTGGAATGGAATATATTTCTGATCTAATTCTTTTGATAAAAATTAATACAATTGTTTCGATGTCTTGACGACAAGTAATCTTACAAAATGCATAGTTTTATTGGAACATGCAAAAACTTTAGTTTTTTTTTTTTTACATTCTTAGGAAATATAAAACTATCTTTAAAAGAAAACGAATATTATATATTTAAAAAGGAATTGGTTTTATATCTATTTAAAATCAAAAAATATATACATATTACACCTGTTTATCACACTGATTTTTTATAGCAAGAATTTCTGAACTGCAATTCTAGCGTTCAGTATTCTGAACTCAAATCTCTCAGACACTGTTATGTTGTTTACTATGGAATAAATTGAATATAAATTTGAATTTTAATGTATGAAATAAATTTGAGACATATTTTCAATTTTAACTTATTCATATTTTTTTTTTTAATATCAGCCATTTCTTCTGTAACTAGATCTTATAAGATTATATGAGTGGCTTCATATCAATAATTGCTTGTAGACGTCTGGGCATTGAATGCAGTAGGTTTTTAATTAAATCTACGTTTATTTGTTGCCATTCTTGAACAAGAAGTTGTTTAAGGTGATGTCCACTAGTGATACGGTGTTTTCTTACATTTTGGTCAAGGCTGTGCCATAAATTTTCAATGATATTTATAACTGGTGACTGAGGAGGAGTGTGGAGCTGTCTTAGAACATTAAATATTAACCACTCCTTTGTTCTCCTTGCAGTATGTTTTGGATCGTTGTCCTGCTGGAAATAGTACTGATCTTGGATTCCCATTTTTTCGGTAATAACATGCAAATTACGTCGCAAAATGTTCACATAGCCTTCCGCATTTAAAATGCCTTCGATGCTCACAAGATTTCCCACGCCAAGGTAGGAAACACACCCCCAAACCATAACATGTCCTCCACCATGCTTTACAGTTGTTAAAACATTTTGCTTCTTTAGGGCTTCATTACGATGTCGCCATATCATCCTTCAACCATCTGAACCAAACAAATTAAATTTGCTTTCGTCAGAAAAGATGACATTTTCCCAAAAGCTTAAGGGTTTCTGTACGTACTCTCTAGCAAAAGCAAGGCACTTTTTGCGATTCGTTTCACTGATGTATGGCTTCTTTCTTGGAGCTCTACCATGGAGCCCTTCTGAATTCAGGCATATCTAATTGTTCTGCTAGTAATCTGAACTCCAGAGGTTGATTGGACCATGGTAGCCAGCTCCCGAGAACTTATCAGAGGATTTTTAAGAGCTTCTTTTCTGATTTTCCTCTTCAGCCTGGGAGCTAATTCTTTTGGACACCCTTTATGCTCACTGTTTTCAGTTGAACCACGTTCTCCATACCTTTTTATGACGTATCTCACTATAGAAAAATTCAACCCTAAGAAATTGGCAATTTGGCGATATGTTTTTTGCTGACTCCTCAATAAAACAATTTTTTCACGAGTTGCAGCACACAGTTCACTTGTCTTTGGCATGATAATTGTCTATTGACTAAAGAAAACTGATTGAAAGACTAGAGAATACTGGTAATAAACGATTAGAGATAAATTAGTAATCAAACCTATGACCTATGGTTACAGGAGGATTAATGCCAAATTAACAGGGCTTGTGAGTCATAGTGTACAAATACTTTTTTCCAAGCACTTTTATTATTATTTATTAATTTTTTTGTTTCATTATGAAGTGTTGTTATGTTTTTCCAAAAAGATTTTTCTCAGTTTTTAACAAATGTACTTTTCATTTTTGCAGAGGAAAGCGAAGTTTTTTGGTTCCTTGAACTCATTTATTCATAAAAACATGATGTGCAAATACTTTTTTCCATCACTGTAGATGTTCATCTTTGATATAAAGCCCCCATATATATATATATATATATATATATATTAGAACCATGATTCTTTTTGCCAGTCAAAGTGTAATCTTTTACAGACCTCTAATTAAAAGCTAGAAATCTCTAAAAATGGACATTGGTTGTTGATGGTCCATGCCACAGATCTTTATGGGTAATTTAAAAATAAATGTAGTGTTTAATAAATAACAATTATTATTTAATTTTTTTCTTCATATTATACATTCTCATATAATAATTATATTTAATACATTTTCAATTAAATTATTGTCTAAAATACATGACACATTTATGTTTACATAAATAGATAGCAATATATTTTTTTATTAGGTAGTAATATAAGATATTACATTGATTCCTCTCAAAACATTTTAGATAGAATCAATAAATATTCACATTTAGAAATGCCCTATCACCCCTATTTACAAATCTGAATCTTAAAAGATCAATGAATATACAAATATCATGTTCATAAAAATAAATACGTTTATCAGTGATGAACTAATGTAAGAAAATTTACAATGTTTTAATTATAACAATATTAAAGCCTATTCTACAATTAAGTAGTTATTGATTTAGTCCTACTACTAGTGTAGGACAACTCTAACTCATATAAATATAAAAGGAACTCATAAATGTGAATTGAACACATTGACTGGTAACAAAATGGAAATAACATCAAAAGAGGATGTTGAGGATTGTTTATTTCAATAAATAATATGTGTGTGTATAAACACATTAAATATGTACATACAAAGTGTTTCTGTTATTACAGTATCTTAAACTTTAGAGAAGAGTGTGCTCAATGTCTATTTTTCAAACTTGTTTATTTTTGGAATCCTTAAATTTCATTTTATTCATCCATCCTCTTCTTCAGTTTGTATATTTTATAATTCTTCCCATATGTTTCAGTATACATACACATATATAATATTATTTACAAAAATAATAACTATGAGATCAAAAGATTCAATATAAACTAATAAGAGGACAAAGTCATTTCTTAATCTACTTTCAAAAATCTTATTAATATATATTTTTTTAACTTTTTCTTAGTAACTATTTATTTTCTTGAAGAAAGACAAATTACTATCTAGTTTAAAAAAAAATAAAATAAAATAAATAAAAGTATGGTTCTGATTTCTTTGGAAAACAATATTGTTACTAATGTCAATATTAATTGAGTATGATAATATAAACATTTTTAAGCAGTAGCAATGGCGTAAGAAGAACCTATATCTCAATTTTCAAATTATTATTGAATAAATAGGGTTTTATGAGCAAAATTTTATCTTTTAAAACAAATATTAAAAATTTATTGGAAAAATAATCACATAATCTATTTTAAAAGATTAATCAATTTGACACTTGAAATGGCACTTTAAAATTAATCTGTTTTCTTCACAAAGATTTTTAAATTCTACCAAAGTGAATCTGTTGAATCTTCTGTTGAAAGTAGTTCACCGCTCACCTGGTCGATAGCCACATATGATGCAGAAAATCCTTTGCTCACCACAGTATCATCAGATCTAAACCTTACTAACAGAGACTCTGTCACTGACAATACATCCGTGGGATTCTGAAATTATCAGAAAAAAAAAAGAAATATTAAATGTTTTGTATGATACATCTTAATATCTGCATGAAAGTCAGAAAGAATTATTTTGCATATTTTTATGCATTAAAAATTTTAAATTATGCAATGAAAATCCTAAAAATGTGTAACGAAAACTTTTGACGTCGAAAAAGTCCAACATTACAATTTTTTTCTTAATACATTGCAAATATTCAGTACAAAAAAATCTCAAAACCATAAAACAAGAACCTAAATGAAGTAAAGATCTCAAAACCATAAAACAGGAACCTTAATGAAGTAAAAATTATAATGAATGGTTGTGATGAATAAGATAATAGCCCAAAAAAAAAATATATATATATATACAGGAAGTTCCGAAAATAGAGGGAAGTTTTGATAGGAGTGATAGCAGACCTCAAGACCTACAAAAATGTTTATATAAACAATGGGCCAATTTTCAGCAGAAAATTAGGAAATCCAAGTTTTATGATTTTCTATGAGTCATGTTTTTCATTGAATAGGGAGAGATAAGAAAAGAAATATTTATTTTGAGTAATGAACAATCACTTCACTGTAAACTCGATGAAATTTACTATAATTGAAAAGAGAGTTTGTCATTATTAAAACCATTTAAAGAGGATATTTGAGCGACTAAACTAAGCTAAGTTCTGTTTTTATAAAAATCATAAATTATTCACATTTTTTTTTATCATCATCATCCAACTATACTACAGTTACCAGGGGTGCCCAGAAGGGGGTTTCATGTTGCAAGTTGCCATCAAAATTTTTTAGAGGTGCATATTTTGATGGTTTTTTTAATTTTTGAGGGAAGCAAATTTCAAGGGCATTATAAATTTTGGGACTAGGGGACAAGGGAAAAACATAGAATAGACTGCAGCTGGTGTAATTGTATATAATTTACTTTTTTTCTAATTCTACCTTAGTTTTCTCTGTTTTTAAGAAAAGATGAACAAGTAACATATCTTGGGAGAAGGGGGAAGAAGTAGGATCTTGCACCATCGACCTTGGGGGGGCGGGCATCTCCGACAGTTACCCCACTTTTAGAAAAATTACCTCGTTTAATAAGTTTTCAGTTGGGAGTGGGGTGGCCGAATGGGCTAAAGCGTATGCACAGCACCGCGAGTTGCCTGGCAACTGGATAAACAGATTTGAGAAGATTAAAAAAGTACGAGTTCGCGTCCCGGTGCCAGAGGGGATTTTAAATTCCGCCTTCACCCCCCAGCCCGGAAAAATCCCGTATAGCCTAAAAGGCAAGGTAGGGAAGAACAAAAAAAAAAATAAGTTTTCAGTTTATATTAATTAAATTGAGGTTTATTTGGCAAAAACTTGAGATTCACCTCAAGTTGTGTAAGGAAATAACATGATTTTCTATCCATCTCCTAAAAGTATACGTATTTTCATCAAAAATGACTTCAATCAATTGTTACAAAGCTTTTATTTATTGTTTATCCATGATATGGGATGAATTCTAATAAAAATAATTGCCTAAATATATATTTTATATATAAAAAAAAATTTTTAAAATAACGATTTTAAAAATATTTTTCATGTAAGGCGATTATGAAATTGTGTTTTTCTTCCAGATCTCTGTCATAGGAGATGATCCATATTTATAAGTGACAACCTTAATGCTAATATTTCTAAAATTGACGTTTAAAATAAAGAAACTTACTGATTATTTCAACTATTTTCATGTACCTAAGAAATAAATTAGAAAAATCATGGATGGTTACAAACTCTTAATGAAATTAAACCAGGTGAAAATTCTCTATGGAAATTTCACTGCAGTTTCACTAAGAGATCTCAGTGTATTCCACCAATCCACCACGTCAGACGGATTTGCCTACTCTGACAATGAAAAAGCAAAATTATGAGCAAAATTTTTTAGGTCAACATCTTGAATTATTAAAGATTTCAGATCATACAACCATAACAACACAGTAAACAAAACAGTAAAAACTTCTATTCGGAATTCAATCTCCTTCGACTTTCCCCCTGCAACACCAAAAGAAGCAAGCAGTATCATCAAACTTTTGGAAACAAAAAGCCCCATGTGATGGTAAAATTTCTCCAGGCCAAGAAATTTTTCAACTCAACAAACACTTCATTTAGCATAAACACCAAAGTTTGAGAAGAAACAAACACAGACGTACAAAACATATTTTACTTAATAATGTTGCATAAGACCAAAATAATGTTGCATATTAAAATCTAGAATATATACTATATCTTTATATTTAAATGTACATAGTTAATATTTTATTATTATTGTTTAATTTATTTATATATTAATTTTTATTTACAAAATTCTTAATTTTTTATTTTATTTTTTTATGTAGTTTTTTTTATAAGTTTTTCCTAATGTCAAATAAAAAAAGGAATGATACTTAAGTTTATAATTTTAGTATTATCTGTAGTATGGAATGTTTGTACACTAAAACATGACCGATTATTATGTACATGTTGTAAATTTTAAATGTTATTTAAATATACTTATTATTGTTGATACGTTAAATTATTGATAAAATATAAAACAAAACAGGACCTGACAAGTAATAATTATAAGTAGATCATTGAAGTGGTATTACAACCAAAATAAGTTGCGTTTTGTTGTTTTTATTATTACTTAATTTTAATCTGACCTGACTAATCCAAGGCATCTGTAATATTATAAATTACCAATACAGCTAAGCATCTGTTACGTCTAATATTTTAATAACAAAAATACAAACTTACGGTGTTTCCACAGAATTTGCCATAAGAGGGTCCGCTTGTGTCTGGGCCAGAAAACACCTCAACATAGTCATACATACAGTCACCTTCATCTTCTAGTTCAAATGTGAGGAATGTTAAATGGATTAGTTGTCCAGGATTCGCTTCAATAGTCCAATCACAATCTGCTCTATTTTCATAGTTATGGTCTCCATATTTTGAGTGTGAATATAGATGTTTTACTCTTGATGTTGCAGTCAAACGTCCACCACATGCTGTAAAAATAAATATTGAATATTTAATAGTTGACCGTTGTATTATTGAGGAAGGAGATAGTCCTGGGGTCCTGGGTATATGTATTTTACTGTATTTAGGCATGTGTTGGACCATACAGGATAGGCTTAGCATACAATAGGTGCTTTTCACTTAGAACTGGGTGAAACTCCTTGCTGAACACACCTTCCTGAAGAAGACCTGCTTAAGTCAGATCAAAACGTTGTCTTTTAATAAAATAGTTTTTCCACTATTTAGTATATTTATGACCACGACTCCAGACCATCTCCTTCCATAAAAATAAATACTTTATCTAATGAGAGTTTTTATTTAAGAAATTGGAATAGTCTGAATTAAATATTTTATGTTATGTTATATTTTTCTTAATAAATTTAAATAGTTTTATTTTGCTTTAGAATGTTTAGAGGGTGATTGTTTTGGTTGGGATGTGAGGAGAAAATATTTCACGATAGTTGTTATTTGGACGGTTGGGAAGCCAAAGATTGCCTCAGCTTACACCAGAGATTTCTTAACTAGAGTCCACGGAGCCCTAGAGGTCAACACTAGTCACCATCAATAGGTCCAGGAAACAATTATAATATTAATGTTACATCCCCAAACTTTTCTCTTTTTTTTCAAATAACTTATTTAATAAAAAATCTACAAAGTTAAGACTTTGCATTTTTTTTTTTTTTTTAATTCACTAGTTAATTAAAAGGTCGTATAACATCTAAGATTGGGATGGGGGTCTGCAAACAAAAATGTTCAAGTGGGATTTCATGGACTCTATAACACCTGACTTAGATCATATGAGTGAGAATATGAGAATATTTAAAGAGAATGCACCTTAACACTTATTCCTCCGCATGATGAAAATTCATCATTTCGGAAACAATCACCGATAGGCAGATGATGAAAATTCATCATTTGTATATCACAGAAAATAATTGGTTCTTGTTCTTTCAATTCTAAATAAATTAAATTCTAATTTTTAACAAAAAGAGATGCTGGATTTTGTCAATGGTAGAGCAAAAATTTACCGGATCTGTAAAAACGTACAAATATATGTTAAGGGCAGAGACTAACACAAAGAAATAAATCAGTGAGCCTTTCTTTGACGACATTATAATTATGTAGTTCTATTACTAACTATATTCAATTTCTGATTCACAGTTAACATAACAGATTAAATAATTATCTTTTCTAATGTTTACTACAAACATGGAAAAAAAAGAGATAATTCTAACATTCTGCATGCTTGTTTTAAAAACGTTAGAAATTTTATAAAAATAAGATGTTTCACTTTGGAGGTTAAAAGTAAAAACAATTGATGATGGTTTTAAAGTATCTGGCTAAGTTATCATGCATTATTATGTGTGAAGGCATAGACTCGCTATTAGGTTGTTGTGCCAATTATGTTTGTATATAGTCTGTGTTGGTTTTTGAATTCAGAGAACATTATGATATATATATATATATATATATATATATATATATATATATATATATATATATAATATATATATATATATATATATATATATATATATATATATATGCAGTAAATTTAAGTAGAACTTCAGGCCTATTGTATGCTAAGCCTATCCTGTATGGTCCAACACATGCCTAACAAACTATAGAAAATTGCTGGTGTTGCAAGATGAATGCACGAGATTAGTTGGTAATCACTTAAGATGAACTCCAATAGATCTTATTGATCACACCTACTTTAAATATAACCAGCATCTTTACTTTTATTTATAAATTAACAATAGATTTTTCAAATCATGTGAAATCAGGAGACATAAGCATATAAGGGAAATCTTCAACTATTCTAGAGTAGATTTATATTATAAGATTTATAAGCATGAACAATTAAAACACATTGTTTTATAAATTAATTATATCCATATTTCTTTTATTTGTCATTTTTTATTGTTTTATCTTGTTTTATATTATTTTTAGTATTCATTAATTTATTTAGATTACATTCAGTTTAGTCCACAAATGTCCAGGATTAAAACCTCATATATATATATATATATATATATATATATATATATATATATATATATATATATATATAGTAAAAATATTTTTGTGCTTATATTTCTTAATAAGCAAAGTTAACAACAATATTAGTAGTAAACAATAGTAGAATTAAACACTAGGTTGAAAAATAATGAGTTACAATATTAAATAAAAATTTTCTCGAGAATTTAGTCCATATACAAAATTTTAAGGACGATTATTAGAACATTATAGGAAAGTTTCATCAAAATCGTTAGAGGCGTTTTCGCACTACAGTCTATAGAAAAACATATTTTTCATTTATTGCGCACGGAGTACCGAATTTCTGTCACAGGCATCAGTAGTCAAAACCCTACAAAATAAAAAAAGAAGCAATAAAATTGGTTCATTAGTTCCCGAGAAAATCTTGGCACCGACAGACAGACATACCAATGGCTAAAAATGTGTTTTTCGGACTTAGGGAGCTCTGAAACGTATAGATCTGTCGAAAACCGCATATCCGAAATTTGAGCCGATTGCAATATGGAAAGAAAATGATTGAATAGGGATTTAAGAGTAGAGAGAGTATTGGAGCGATGGATGTCGGAAGGGATGGAGTTCTATAGGGATGAGGGTCAAATAATAGAAGATTTATTGAAAGCAGCGGTTCGGTTGGCCATTATATATAAATCTGAAGACCGGGAACGGGTATTGCGGGAGTGGACAAAGGATTTAAATTAAAGGAGCTCAGAGATGTATGAAGGATAGCGGAAGTGAATTGCTTGGAAGAGGAAGGATGCCAGGAAATACTCATGGCATTAGGAAGGATAAAGCCATTTCAACTCTTCATAGAAAAAGGAAACAGGAGCGTCCCTTGGGATCTCGAAGATGAATCGTACAAAGTAATTTATCAAACGTTTTAGTTTTGCCTCGAGATCCCCAGAGATGCCTCCATATACCATGCAGCAATAGTCAAAGTGGGGGAATATTTAGGAGGTAATCAGGAGTCTACAGATTTCAAAAGGAAAAAGCTGTCGGAGGCTATTTAAGTGTTTTAGTATGGAAAAGGTACATCGGGAGATATTGGATACATGGTTTTTCCAGGAAAGGGTTTGATTGAAGATTATTCCAAGGTTTTTGATAGTGGGATAAAATAAAATAAAAGTATAGGTAGGAAAGTAAAAATAAATAAATTGTTTGAGCATATACCTGTTGCATGTATAGCTAAAAATCCTTTTCGTTGGACACTTGCATCTGATTTAAATGTCATATACATGTGATTTGAAGTTGCTATGATTGGATGTGGCAGTTTTGAGCCACAGAAGACTCCTAGGCTCATAGCATCAGCGCTGTCTCCATCATATAGAGCCACATGATCATATTCACATTCTTGGTGTGGTTCCAACTCAAATTCTGTGAATGTCTAAAATATGAATATGTTACTTTATTCGAGGGTTTTGTATTTCTTAATGATTGATAAGGTTTATTTTATGTAAAACTTCAAGATAAGGAAGATTAAATTAAATAGTTAATTAAACTTATAAATTGTTTACCAATCTTATGCGATGACCCGGAGTTGTCGTAAACTGCCATACACATTCTTTTCTAGAAGGATAATTTTCAGGATAATTTGGTGATGACACAGTTCCAACCGGAGCCCGTACTTCGTGTTTGCAGCCACCTTCTTTGCAATCATGCCCATTTTCATGTAAAGTGTATCCATTATGGCACCAACAAGCATATGATCCAAGTGTGTTCCGACATTCATGTTGGCATCCTCCATTATCGACAGCGCATTCATCCATATCTGTGTATAATATGAAAATGTTTCATGAAACATATATGAAATATTCAATTTCCATTTTCATTTCCTTTTTTATAAAGAAGTAATCAAAACTCTTGATTCTAGTTTAATAAAAATTACCTGTGAAAAATACTGCTGCGAAACCAGTTTTATGGATTGATGAATCAGAGGAAAATTCAATTCTGAGAGCATTAGCTTCAGATGTTATCATTGGAGGAAGCCTTGTACCACAATAGACACCGTGCCTGTGGAGTACATCTGCACTCAATTTGGAATGCACTTCTACACTATCATATTCACACTCTTGCTGTAACATAGAAATACAAGCAGTTTAAGTTTATTGGCTACAATTATATTCACAAAATATATCTTTTATATATAAAAAAAGTCTTTAGTCCTCTTTGATTCCATGGCTCGTTGAAAGGTACTTTAAAATACAAAAGCATTAATGTTTTTAATCGAAGAATCTTTATTTTATTAAATAGTTAGTACTAATTCATGGAAACAGATAAATGTACAATTAACCATAACTATTATTAAGATTTTTAAACTTTATTTTTTCCTTAATTTTTGCACATTGGAAACAATATGTGTCGGAAATGATGTGTTAATTATTGATACCAGCACATTTAAATGACCAGTACTCTCAGGTCTGAATCAATATTTTAAAGTAAAGAAGTTATAAATGATTTATTAATTACTATAATGAAAAATTAATCATTCTCATGACAGACTATGAAGGATCCAGAGAGCAGGTACTTGTATAAGTGCATCATTTTTTAAATAACATAATTCTTGAAAGATGACATGGTCAGCAATGTTATTTATCCATGGGCCACTATCAGTTGTTGATACTTTTGTTGATTAGATGAATCCAGGATTCTTAATAGTAGTAATGAATGGGAAGTGAAAAGTACTCGAAAGGTTACACTGGCCTGTTCTTGTAGTAGGACAGTGGGAGTAGAGAAAGGACAAAGAATTTCAAGGCATGTTCTAGGAACAAGTTCAAGCATGATACATTGCAAAGTCTCAATTAAGGAGGGTAGGATGCATTGAAAAAATGCTTGAGAGTAAACTTTCTAAAAAAAATTTGGATGGCAAACCACGAGGGTGACAATAATCAGGTGACCAAAAAACTGGTGGATTGATGTCCAAAATATTCTTATAACTTTTGGAGTGAAAATTTGGAGGAGAGTAGCCCAAGACAGAGTGGAGTGGCAAAGAAGGTTCTTGAGGATCATACAGGTGTGGAGTGAGTGAGATAAATCCAGTAGGTGTTTATCAAACCTTGGTTATCATCTGAACAAATTGTACTAATTTTTTGCTAAAATAGGATTTAAATCAGATTTACTTAGCACAAAGCAGTCAGCACATTTTAGGCTACCATTATTTCTATTCAGTTTTAATGGTTAACATATATCCGAATTCTACAAGTACTAACTAACTAAAATCTAGTTCTGCTTTAATGGTTATCCAACATATTTCTTTTTGATCATTTCACAAATGTTATTATTACTATTTTTTAGATTGGTAAATTATGATTATAGGCAATATTTTAATTAGTATTCTATTAATAACTGTTTATTTATTAAAAAGGATTTTTATTTTTTATTACAGCATAATAATTCTTTTTACATTTCACAATGTTTTGGGCTCAAATTTTCCATTGTTAATTCTGTTTTCATAATTATTTTTAATGTGATTCCTTTATGTTCATGATTAACAAGTCATGTATATATTTTTTCATTTTGTTGTTATACTATTCGTATTTCACTATCGTATTAGTCTTCAATAATTTGTTTCTTATATGTCCAAATACTTTTTTTTTTCTTAAAGCAGTCTACCTGAAAATGCTTGATGAATTGCAAATTGATTGGTTTAAGAATAGAAATGGTTTGACTTATACAAACAAATAAATGAATCTTATGTAAGATTAATTATATAGTTAACTACAAACCTTTATTTTTTTAAACATGAGGAATGTGAATGTAACATGAAGAAATGACATAAAAAATTAAAATAGACTTAAAAATGGGTAAAGTAAGCTCAGAACATCATCAAGTGTAATAGGAATCAAATAAATTGGAAAAGAACTTTTAAAATTGTTGTTATTTTTCTAAATTATTATAATGTTATTATTATATGATAACAATAATTATTATGTAATTATGATTAGTATGATTATAGGATTACTGAAATCTATAATGTTATGTTAACATAACCGATTTTTAATGGAACATGAAAGTGATCTCAAGATTTCCTGTTTTTCAATATTTCAGATGTTTCCTTCTAACTCACCTGGAATACCTGAAACAAACAAGAAACTAGTTAATTTAATCTGATGAGTCTAATAATATTTCATAAATGAAATTTTGTAAATAGTTTAGTTTAAATTTATATTGAGAACATACATTGTTTCCTTCGAGGTCAAAATGTGTAAAGTTAAGAGTGATCCTGTATTGAGGTGGTGCTATAATTTCCCAAACACATGTCTTATCTCCAGGGTAAAGATCTGGGAATGATGGGCTGGTTAGTGCACCATTTGGGGCTTCTAAAGTTCCTCCGCAAGCATCTGTGGTAAACATAATATTTAATATACCGATCTTTTTCTGAAGAGAGTGGTTTCTAATTTATTTAAAAAAGGATGGATAATGAAAAGCAGTTCACTTTTAACTTTGCAATAATGTTAAGTCAAAGACCTGATTTTGTATTTACCTTCACAGTGCTTATTGTCGGAATGGAGTTCAAATCCTATTCTACAAGCGCATTCATATCCACCTAAGGTATTGACACATTGTTGTTCACATCCGTGATCTGTCAGGCTACATTCATCATATTCTGGAAAATAAATTATGAATATACTATTATTGTTAAAGCTGATTTGTTAATAGTTTATTTTTTAAGAAACTGAATTAATAATTTTACCTTTCATGTATGCTGCAGAGAATCCAGCCTTTTGAACTGAACCATCTGAAACAAATTTGATGAGGAGTTGGTTTCCAGTTGAATGAACATCAGGTGGAAGTTTGTAGCCACAGTATTTGCCAATGACTTTTGAATCAGGATCATGGCCATCCAATATCTCAACGTAATCGTAGAAGCAGTTGTCATGCTTCTCCACCTGCAAAAAGTAATTATTATATAATTTTCATTCTTCTTTACAAAAGTTCTTTTTTTTTCCAATTTGAATATTTATATTTTCAAACACAGAATACAGCCCATGAGCAATTGGTCAGGAAAATAACTAATAGAGGGAGGGGCAAGTGTTTTTTTTGCTATTTTACCCCATGTAGCACAATTTAAAAAGTAGAAACAATTATTTTTAGGTTAAGAGAGAGTGAAATAAGGCAACACAACTAGGCTTGTTAAAATCCTAAGTTCCAACATTATTAATGATAATTAATAATAATTTTAGAATAAATGAAGTCCTACTCTGCCTGATTAGAGCTTAGATAAAAGATCTTCTATGTTCTTATCCCATCTATCTATTTGTCCATTACATGTTAAAAAAACTCCTTTTACCTTTAAAATTATCTTTATCATAATTGATGTAATCTTTTATTACAATAAAAAGATAGAAACAAAAGTTTTTTTTTCAATTGATTTAAAATATTGAAGACCTTTTAAAGTGGTTTCGTATGAGGTTTATTGTTGTTATTCTAGTAACTGCTCATTCATTCTCATGAGAATGGGTTAGTCCTATATTAAACATGAGGTCTAATTAAACAAAACTTGATGTTTCAGAAATTGTGTGTTCCAAATAATGCTTATTAGATATCAAGACAGATTGAATAAAAGAAAACAAAATTTGTATTGTGAGAACCTTTTCGTCCCAGTTATGTAGACCATCTTCATGGCTAGAGAATCCCTGGTCTGGTGAGAGACTGATTTATTATTTGTTTGCTTGCAATAGATTTTTTGTAATAGTAATATATATCACTTTCCAATTTTAGCATCAGTCAAACAATAATAATAGTCAAAAATAGTTAATCTTATTCTTCAATATAACCTAATATTTGGCCAGCACCCTACCCCATGCTGTTGGATTGAGATTTTACTAACCTATAAATAAATACATATTGCAAGATCTTATATATATATATATATATATTTTTTAAAGGAAAGTTTTGCTAAATGAGCTCTTTATTTACCTCAAAACTATGAAATTTAACAGCGACTTGATAATCCCTTGGAGCAGTGAGCTTCCAAATGCATTCTTTATTGTGCTGGTAATCTTCTGGATAATTCGGTGATTCTAGATGACCACCTTCATCAACAAATATATTGCCCCCACAAACAGCTGAAATACATAATTGAAATAATTTAATATTTAGACTGATTACTATATTTGTAACTATTCAACTATTATTTTATTTTGATACTATTATTTTATTTTGTCTAGTACAGTAACATTTAAAATATTACCTTCATAATGAGCTACAAATCCTTTGTGGCCGGCTCCTTTCATACTGGTGATATATGTGAGAAGCATTCTGCTACCTGTTGATATGATTGGTTCATACGACCTTTTTGATCCACAGAATTTTCCTAAGTAAAATATATTAAATTTAAAATGATTCTTAATAATTAAATAACTAATTAAATACCAAATGACTTGCATAAGTGGAATGGTCTCTAAAGAAATAAGTTTTATTATTCTTTAGTCAAACAAAAAGGGCTTATTTTTAAAATTATATCATAAAAGTGTTTGTTTATAATTCTTATTCTTACCTAATAGAGGGCTCTTGTGCCAGTAACCATCCCTCACCTCTAAGTAGTCTGAACGGCAGTTCTCGCTCTTATACAAGTCCAAATCAGTGATGTTTAGAACTATTCGTTCGCCATGAGTGGCCATAATACGCCACTCACACCTTTCACTTTCATGTCTGGATATTGGAGAAGTAATAGTAGCCGAATTCTCTTGATGAGTCCTACCACAACCTATTAGTGTAAAAATAATTAAAATTATTATATTGTTACTTCTTAATTTGCATTGCAACCTCCATCCTAAGTTTATTTGTATTTAGAATCAGAGTAGGAATCAGTTATATGTGTAATTATTTTTTACCTATTTATATTATACAAGTATCAGATGCTAATTATATATTTTGATCTAAATTCTATATTATTTTGAAGAAAAATATAAAATAGGCATAGGATTGCAATTTTGTTTTTTGATTTTACTATGGTTTAATTTTTTTTATTATCATTTTCATGAATACATTATTAATTCTTTTAATAAATTAAAGTAACTAACATATTACAGTCTGTAGTCTTCTAAATATCTTGCCCAGTATCTTTTTAGGGTCAATGATGTGACCCTAATGAACTATGACAAAGATAAGTAGAGGCAATTAGATCTATTTAAATCTCTTCTCTCTCATATTAGATTGGATCAACAAGATACTGATTTTTTTTTTAAATATTAAAATATCATTCAACTGCTTTTTTAAAAAAATAACGATTCTTCTTTTATTTATTCATATTGGAGCTTTTATGCTACAATGTTTATTATTATTATTTCTTTGTATTGATAGTGTTAACAAATTGCTTTAATTGCTTATATCACCTCTGCTGTGGATTGCTATAAAAATCTAATACATATATTAATTCTTCTACTTAAAAAAAATGAGGGAAAGTGGAAAAAAAACATATGTTTTTTGAGAATAATAAAATAAACCAAAAGTGTGGACTTACGTTGACATTTATAAAGTAGATTTGTCTGTGCAATGTCCCCTTCGCTCAACCTCAGCCTTTGACCTATCTCAGGTCTCCTTTTGTTCTTTCCGTAATCAGTTGGTTGAATCGTATCGAGATAAGTACCCTTAAAAATAGAAGAGTTAAAGTTGTAGTTTTATTAAAGTACATATTTAGTTTGTTTATTACTGAAACAATGTTTGGCTTGAATTCGTATTTTCGTTAATTGTGCTGTGGAAAGATTAATTTCACATTTTTTGTAATAAATATGCAGATTTTTTGAAATTTTACAAATGTTTAATATTACAATGTAAATAATGTAATTGATGAAAAAAGCTTAATCTTGTTCAATTATTTAAAACTAGACTATTTTTGGGACAGTACATCTCAAAGGGAAAAAAATTAAAATATATAGTTTAAAATGTATTCTTTTTTTGGAACATTTATGTATTGAACTTTGTAGTGATTTTTTTAAAGTAAATTTTATTTTCCTTTTACTTATTTAATTTATTTCAAGAGACCATTGATCCCAAAAAGCTATTTAAAATGAAACTTCATCATTTCTTATTTTTAAGGATCCTTGTTATTCTAGACTATTGAACTGATTCTGATGAAACTGCAGCTGTGGTAAAATGGTTACAGTGGAAATGTAACTAAATTACATTCAATGTCCATTACAGTCTATCCGAGGAGATAAAAAAAATATTTGGTTTGTATTTTGGTTTTAAGATACAATTTTTGGTTAGGTTATAACCAAAGTAAAAAAAAAACTACCAATTTTTACTCTTCACGTTTTTTTTTGTTATAACTTCTTTTACTGGACTAAGATTGTTTGTGAAAGTAAGGATATGAAATATGGTGTTTTTGTGGTATTTTAAAAAAATAACTTTATTTTTTACAATTTAAAGCGTAAAAAAACAATTGTTTATTTTTAAAATTGTATTAACTCCTCTCTCTCTCTCTCTCCCTCTCTCTCTCTCTCTGACCACATACCTTCTATAGCTGTTCAGGAAAAGACACTTCCTAATCAACTACTGTATTCACTGTGTTTTAGTGAAACAGATTTTTAAAAAAAAACTATAATAATAATAATAAATAACAATCAATGCTTTATTTATTCTGGGACGAGTCTCTTTAGAATAATACAGAAAGACAAAAATGTGGGCTAAGGAGCCTCAGAGATACATAAACAAGAATATAGTTGAATTAAATAGTAAAAAAAAAATAATAAAAGAAATTATAATTTACTTTCTAATTTAAATCAGTTAATAATAAAAAATAAATAATTGAAAATAAACATGAAGTAAAAATAATGAAGAAGGATCTAATAATTTATATACATATTTACAATTTTATGTGGACTGGATGGATAAGAAATGATTAAACAGGCGGGATTTAAAGGTAGGAAGGGTTTTGGATTGACGGATGTAGGGAGGGATGGAGTTCCATAGGGATGACGATCGGATAATGAAAGATCTGTCGAAAGCAGCGGTTCGGTGGGCCCCTATGTATAAATCAGAAGACCGGGAACGAGTATTGCGGGAACGAACAGAGGAATTGAATTGAAGGAGCTCGGAGATGTATGAAGGATGGCAGAAGTGAATGGCTTGGAAGAGGAAGGATGCCAGGAAATACTTACGACGGTAGGAAGGATAAAGCCACTTCAACTCTGCATAAAAACTGGAAACAGAAGCGTCCCTTGGGATCCCGAAGATGAATCGTACAAAGCAATTTATCAAACGTTTTAATTTTGCCTCGAGATCCTCAGAGACGCCCCCATATACCGTAGAGCAATTGTCAAAGTGGGAAAAAATTAAGGAAGTTACTAGGAGCCTACGAGTGATTATTTTTTTCCGCATTAATGATAGTTAAAATGCACTAGTAGTTATGGACGTAAATAATTGACTTTTTCGAGATGAATATTTAGTTGACTGTTAAAATTTTAAGGATGAAAAATAGTCGGGATATGCAGTCAATTTTTATTATTTTTACCTACATTTCGACCCAAGCATGTGATACATCATCAGCAATGCCGGCCTTAGACATTTGGTGCCCTCCCACGAGCAATGACGTCATTTTCTTCCCCCTAAAAAATAAAATTTTATTCTTGAGCTATTTTTATATTATATAATATTAGAATTGCATTTCATTCAACGCTTCTCTAATACAGTTGCTTTGTTAATGATCCAAAATTAACTATTTTAATACGTTTTGTAATTTTTTTTGTATTTCTTACAAGTGACCAGCATCCCTAAACATCGGCCGGCGATTCGACAAGAACTCAAGTTGAAATATTTACAAAAGATTTCTTGTCTGGCTTTTAAACCATTGCCATGATGATCCTTATGTTTGGGCCGAAAGGTTTGCAAACTTAAGAAACATGATTATTTCCTGCATGTCCCGGCTATTTTTCTTCCTTTGAACCGATGTTTTTATTTCACTACATGCTTGATTTTGACGCTCAAACACGTTATAAAACATTTGATAATTGTTTGGAAAAGTTTTAAAAATAAGTGTTTCTTTTTTTAACAGTGACTAACACTTAAAAACCGTACCACCTACGGCTCGTTATGGAGGAGAGGAGACCCCCGTGATGGGACATTACCAGAGAGATAACAGTCTGCTCGGAACGGCCTGCGGTGGCTTGTCATCAATCTTCGGCTATCGCGGTTATTTTTAGTCACCCTCCTTCTATCCCCAATTGTATCTCTTCACGGGGCTTGGTTGAGATTTATTTTATTGCTTAAAGTAAATCGTAAACTGTCAGTAATTATTACAATTAATCGCTTCGACAGCTCCAGGTTTTTAGCTGAAAATACTTCCAATAGATAATTTCCAAATATTGCTACTCCTAAACCATATTGGATGTAACCTTTTCACGCAGCCTGTTTAACTGATTTTCTATACATGTCTGAAATGTATATTTAATAAATAAAATAAATCTCAACCTAATCTCCTGAGGAGATGAAATTCGGAACAGGAGGATCCGCGAAGTGGGTTACATGTATTAAGACTTGGTTATGAGAATTAGTAAATAGCCACAAACACGGATGTCGATTCAGCTCCTTCCCCTCAAAGTCGATGACGCATTTCCCCTCTCTCAAGAAATTTACTCGCTCTCCTATAATTAAAATTGGTACAAGCGGAAATAGAATTATAAAAATTGTTGCTCATGTAAATTACACTTGCTAAGATTCCTGATTTAAAAGTCCTTCCAAATTGAAACACCACAAAAACACGGTCATTTTTAAAAATTCATAACCTATTTAAATTTCTCTACCCTCCAAAAAAAGAAAATTAAAAATCTCGTAAAAATATGCTCTCTCAAATACTTTGATTGCGAAAACCCCAGACTCTCTTCTGGCATCTCTAATAACAAATAGCAAGAACAAAATAAGGAGATAATATTTTTAACGAAATATAATGGAAGCAGAGGAGCCTGGGTAAAGATAAAATTTGTATGCTACGAGAACTTAAATATATCATAAAATAAATATATAAATTCATTAAACTTTTTTACAGGAATGAGGTTGAAGAACTAGTCACTAACACCAATAAGTTATTTTTCTTATTCTGGATTCACTAATCCATTTATGATTAATCTTTTTCATGAGACATATTAATAAAGGCCGGGAAGAGAAGGGAGTGACTCATGACTCACTTCTAAGTATTGTTTTGTAGATTACTGTGTCCAATCAGGAATGCCATCCCCCTAAGGTCGAGGGCGCATAATTCCTCTCCCTCCTCAAACTATTTTATTGCACTTAAGTGCAAGAGAAAGTTGAAATAGAAAAAAAAAAGTAGATCATGTACAAGTACAAATTCACTGGTTCGGACTTTTCCATCCTCCCAAAAATTCAAAACCCCGTCAAAATATGCCCTCCTCAAAGATTTTGATTGTGCAACTTGGCTTATGAAATCCCTTTCTGGGCATCTCTGAGTCCTTTCAGTTTTAAAAACTTTTTGGTATTTGGTATCAGTTGAAATAAATATATTTTGTTTTTAATACACAGACTCTAAGATTCTTGAGCCCATTTATTCCTTGCTGCAGAGAGGCGGTAATGAAAGACTTGTCCGTGACCGAACAAGAGTTGGAGGGATCTGTTACTTACCTTTGAAAAAGTATTCCTAGCGTAGTGCATTATGGAATCGTAGTCATATGGAAGACCTAGCGAGTTGACCTCCTCTTCTGTGAGCTTGTTGAAGTTGTATTCTTGACCTGTAACATAAATCTGTTATACTTTTTTTCAAATTTTATACATCGATTAGTTATTTATTCTTTAATACATTAAAAAAAATCTGGTGTGCACACACACACAATGTTCACTGACCGCTCTACTTTGAATAGAAATTATTTTCTGACAATGCTGGGCTATTATTTTTGAAGTGCATTTTAAACGAAGCTAAAGCTTAACGCTTACAGATACCAAATCATTAAGACCATTATAATTTCAAAAATTTATTGTATCGACGGTAGGCATCTGCTTTTATAAACCACATAACTTCAATCTCTGAGACTTTCAGTTGACAGAATGACTAACTCCAATTTCAACATCTTTGAGTAATATCATTTTGGTGATATTTCCAGTCGAAAAAGTTATCCGTACAGACAGTGAGTAAGTTGATTCCGGAGTACGTGATCGCAGCGTTGAAATATAGAACTGTGAATAAAGGTATAAATTTTGCCACTGGAAACGTAACTAAAATTAATAATAAAGAATGTTGAAATTGGAGTTAGTCATTCTGTAAACCAAAAGGCTCATATATGCTTACAGATGTTTAAATGTATATCTGAATATTTAACCTATAAATGATTATGGATCGTAGGACTATTAGTTATTAAGTTATTATTTTTCATTGTGAAATTTACTAATACAAACTTACGAGATTTTCATTGCTTTGCCATGGATAGGTCAAAAGTTGTCACACTAATTGTAAGTAGATAATGCTGGGATTTCACAAAGGGAAAATTTATCAAATTATACACTAATTTAATTTTCTAAAAAGTTACTTGATGATTTTTTTGAATAAACGGCCGATAAATACCATGAAATATTTTTATATTTCACTTCTTCTTTACGCAAGTAAAAAGTTGCTGCCACATCTAAGGAATATACCTATCTTAAATACGTAATATTTAGTTTCTTAAGTCTTTTCGTTTTTGAGGTAGATTGCTAACATACACCCACGCAGGCACACAGACTATTTTTCGGGACTTGGATATTTGGACTCAGGGGACCTCAAAACGTGTATTTCCGTTGAAAACACAGATTCAAAAATTTCCACCATCGTAATACTTATCCTTTCTATATATTACACATATACGCAAGTGAAAGTAAAAAATAGAAACCTAACTTTAATTCTTCATTAGGCGTAATTCGCAGTTTTATTTCCGTAGTGTTATTATAGATTTTAGGCACATTTAATGCTGCCAAACTTATATCTTATAAATAATATGGAGTGTTATAATTGTATAAAATATAAATAAAAAGTAACCAGAGGTTACAACAATTTGTAGTCTTTCAAGATTAGTTCTAAGAAATTACATCTAAAAGGTTTACGACAAAAACCGATGAAATTGGCCAAAATATACCTTTTTCTAAATACCCAGAAAAACCGTCTGTGAGGCTACGATTTCCAAGCATTTAAAAATAATTGACAAATTAAAGACAAAAAGAAAGAAAAAATATTCCTTCTCATCAGTTGAATTAAGCATTAAAAAAAACTCAGCCAATCAAGTCATTAATCTGTTTATTTTATTGATTCGTGTTTTTAAAATGGAAATAATCGGGTTAGCAAACTTTTAATTTTTTTTCTCTTCACGGTCTGTTGTTTTTTAACATTTTGTTCAATGTCCGTTATCGTAGTTTAAAAAATAATGAATCTGGTGCCTAATATATTTTTTTTTCGTAACGGTTTTGACATAACTAGCGCAAACAGAGCTTTCTTCTCCCTCTCAAAGGTATTGAAATCCCGAAAAATCTCTAAAAACCTCAAATTAAGGGTGTGCAATGCTATGAAAAAGGCACTTCTAATATATGGCTGTGAGATCTGGACACTTACCAGCACCTTAGAAAAAAGTGTTGTAAGATTTGAGAGGGAAATCCACCGCACGATAACCGGAGCGATCTGGGATCAGAGTACTAACACATGGATAAGAAAGACCAATAAAGAACTGCTTACTGAAAATGGTCAATCAATATGCCATGATATGAAGGCACGGAGGTTAAGATGGGTGGGGCATGTAGTTCGTAGCAATCCATCTGGAAGCCTTTACGTAACAATGAATACCTCAATCGAAAGCAAAAGACCAAGTGGAAGGCCAAAAAACAGATGGATAGATAGAATCAACAAAGAGGCAATAGAGCAGCAGGCAGATATATGGAAATGAATAGCCCAACAACATCGATGGCGCAAGAATACACCCCCCTCCCCCTCTCCTAAAATATTTTATTGCTTTCATCTTCTTAATAGTGCAAGCTAAAGTAGAATTTAAAGAAAACTATGATCATATGCCAGTACACTTACAGCGATCTGTTATATGTTTTTTACCAGGTTTGAAACTTTTCATTTCAAAAATTCATAATCCCGTCGAAATGTGCCCTCCCCTCAAAAATACAAACCTCGTCAAAATGTGCCTCCCTTCAAAAATTTGGGAGCGCAACTTGTGCCATGAAATCCCCTTCTGGGCACCCCTATAGCCCAAGACAGGCAGAGATGGAGCAGGCTTGTTAAGGCGATAAAAGATCTACATGGTCTGTAATGCCAACAGAGAAAAAAAAAACACTGTGTTGGTACAGTTAATTCTCCTTGAAGCCTTATTTAAATTATGTTTTGGTTATTGTGAAACACAGAATATTTCTTTCTATTTACTAATTTACTCATTTTTTAATAGTGAATCAAAAAGTTTTGTGAAATAGTATGATGATTGCGGATTTGATCATAGAATTACGAAAGAGTTGAACATTCCTAATGCAAATTTAAAAAAACATAACATAATCTTTGCTGAAATCCTTTAAGGTAGGTTTCCATGGTCCATCATGGTTAGGATCAACAAACATTGTTTTTGAGTGTTTGTTCCGAGTTGAGCATCTACTATTCCGTTGCTCTGTTTGTCTTCGGCAGCGAACTAAGTTGAACTCCGCATATGGTTCACTAAGTTACAACTGATCCTTAGGCCATTTAGAAGTTAGTCTCACTGTGTACTATATTACTACTCTTATCTAGTGGTGTAGTAATTTTTCATTTGAACGTAAATATTTACCAGTAACTGTTCTTCCCCTATTCCTGATGCACATGACATAATCTATTATGGTATCATGCGTGATAAATAGTCAGAACGCTTTTATCAACCAGTTTTTAAGATTTTTATTTTTTGTCAACGTTTCAACCCAAGCTTGTGGATATGTTATTAGTAGTGAAAATGTTCATTACTCAACGCCTTCAGTGCTGGAAACATGACTTGATAATGATCCACAAGCTTGGGTTGAAACGTCTGCATCAATAAAAATCTTAAGAACTGATTGCGTTCCACTACCGGATCCAGGATTTAATTTTGGGCGGAGGCTTCAACACGAAAGCTTTTTTTTTTACATATGATAATTACTTTGGTAAAAAAAGAAAGAAACTACCTACTTATATGGGGTGGTGTTTAATTGATTCTACAGCTCCGATTAAATGTAGTCAGACGAACAATAATACTTTTTAAAATATTTTTTTCATAAAACAAGATTATATTTTATCATTTAGGGAGCTTCGGCCCGAAAGCCCTACCTCCTCCTACCCCCATAGATCCGCCGTCTGACTATTTATCACCCATGATATGTTGAACGGTCAACTAACTTCTTTCACTGACATGGTATGTATTTACAAAGGAGGAAATTAATTTTTGAAAATTTATATATATATATATATATATATATATATATATGTATATAAAAGATAATTACATTGGAAGGAAAAGAAAGAAACTAACTACCTATACCAAATGTTGTTTAGTGAAAGTCCTTAAGCTCCTATTAAATGTGATTCACGAAAAATAATACACTTTAGAGATAATGGTTATCAGGGATTAAGGAGGAAGCAAGGTTTGAAACGAGAGGTTTCGGATGGTTCTGGAGTTTGTTATGGAAGGATAGGTATCTGGATTGGGCCAATTCGGAAACATATGGCATACTAAGGTCGTAATTGACGATTTTATTTGTGAAAAAGTAAGGAGCGTTGAGTATTTTACGAAGGATTGGATACAAGAGGAATTCGATGGTTTAGTGGAGCCCAAAAGCTCAATTCCGTAAGTCCAAATAGGTCTTATTATTGTCATATATATATATATATATATATATATATATGAGTCGTTTGTAATTGATTGAAAGCTTAGAGCGTTTGCCTAGTAAGTGCTGGAATAGTCAGAAACGTCGAGCGGTTTCTTGTCGTTTCAGTCTTGTATGAGGATTCCATGTGAGTCGTTTGTCCAGGTGGAGTCCTAAGTAACGGATTTGTTCAACTGGGATAAGTGGGGAATTGTTAAACGATACTGTAAGACAGGAGGTAATAGGTTTGCGACGCAGGGTAAAGGTAATTTGATGAGATTTATTGGAATTTATTTTAATTCTCCAGTTTTGACACCATTCTTCAAGGTTGTGATATGTGATTGGAGAGTTTGGGTAGCAGTTGATGGAACATTATTAACAGATAGGATACATGTGTCATCAGCATACGTGGTGATGACATTGTCAGGATGGGTCTCCATGTCAGCTGTATAAACTGTGCAAAAGATAGGACCAAGTATCTGCCTTGAGGAATTTAGTAATAGTATTTTTGAATATTAATATTCTTCTAAATATTTGGCAAATAGGTATTTTACAGTGAAATCTAATTAAAAATTATCAGTAATGTCGGAAGTTCGAAAATCAATTGCTATGTTTAAACATGTAGCAGGCATACATAAATATTGAATGTTCATACTTGTGTATTCAGCTCTGTTGTTGGTTTGAATCCTTCCCTTCACGCTGCCTTTACTAACAAATGCACGTCCCTCGTTAGTAGAAAATTTAACGAGCCGGTAAATACAGCTTGGATGCAATACAAGTTTCATAAATGGTCGGTCTCATTTCTGTAAGCTTTTTTTAAAAAAAATTTTATTGTTTAATAATCACGATATATTGTCATGATCTCTTATGTTTTATTTATTTGACACTATTATTGTGAAAATATTCTGTTGTACATTATCATTGTGTGGCTTAAGAGTTAACTTTGAGTAAAAATACATAATTTATGAGTTGCTGGTACTCTGTAGTGTTGCCAAAAATCGGTCAAAGAGACTGGTAAAAAAAAAAGGAAAAAAAAAAGAAGCTTTTTGTGAATAAAAATTAAGGCAAAATAGTTTATAATACTAGAAAACTTTAGTGACCATATGTAAAGAATTGGTAGAATCAATACACCATAAAAAAAATCACCTAAATCGAATCAGTTTTAATACCCGTTACAGTGCATCGTATTTTATATACTGATTTTAATAATTATTGGAGGAAGTAAGTCGACTGTTATATATATCGTGGGTGACAAATATTCGGGACGCAGTCATCATAAAGTTTTTATAAGTGCCGACGTTTAAGATACAACAGTACTTGAGTAATTGTCGAGTTTAACAGTACTTGAATACCTTCCAGTGGTCGAAACAAGATGACCCACATGTTTGGGTTGTAACGTCGGTACTAATAAGAACTTTTTAATGACGGCGTCCTGAATATTTATCATCCATGATATGTAGAACAGCCGACTAATTTCCTCCAATAAATAAAAAATATATTAAGGATGCTAACAAAATGATTTACTTTATATTAGCTATAACAGGAGGTAATAGGTTTGCGACGCTGGGTAAAGGTAATTTGATGGGATTTATTGGAATTTATTTTAGTGAATGCATGAGGCAGACAAACGGAATACGTCAGAAGCTATACAAACTATAATTAATAAATTAAAAAAAAAATGTAATATTACTAAGCATGTTTCCAGAACTGAAGGTGTTGAAGTAATGGGCATTTTAGTGTAGGTGAGTGGACCGGGGGTGGATTTTCCAGATGTGCTTTCAAGATGGCGGAGATGAAGAAACAATATCGGGGTGTGCGGGTAACATTATTGTTTACGGAATACAGATCATTGGATGGATACCATATTCAAGCTTATCACATATTCCGTTTGTTCATCCCATGTATTTACATCATTCTACATTAGTTTTTTTTTCATATTCATCATTATTAACTGTTGTCTGTTGTATAATATTGTATCTCTTATGTTATAAAAAAAAAAATTCAGCCCAAATGATGACCCTCAAACTTGGGTTGAAACGTTGAAAACAATAAAAATCTTAAAAACTTATTGCGTATTGAATATTCATCACCCATGATATAAAGAACAGTCGACTAGCTTCCTTCAATGGTTCAATAAAATAATTTACACTGTTTGAAATTATTTATGACTGCCAACTCGGACCATCTTCTTCACAGGATCTACCATTAAATATTCTGTAGATTTTATTATAAATTATATTATATATAAGCATTAGAATTGATATACTTATTCAAGTATTTATATCTGTGGAAAAAAAACATTGCTTTTTTTCTTACCCTCCAAAAAGTTTATTGAAACAATTACATATATAGTATACAATAATACAATATAAACATGTAATAAATTTATTTTTTTTTATTTTTTTTTTTTAATCCATTAAAAAACATTGCATATGCTTGTTATCTTTTTATACGAGAGTATATCGGTTCCCGCAAGTGGTGTTATAGAATGCACAAAGCACAAGGTCTTATACATTTTCCGGAATAAGAATTCTTTTTGCGGAGGAGGACCTGGAAACCACAATACTAGACGCAAAGCCAGTTTTTAAGCCAGAGCCCAAAGGGAGGACTTAGAAGCCGCCTTTGATGTCGAAGGCCGGAGACTATAAAGGAAGGTCCTCGGGGCCTCCGAAGACATCTGCTAAGGAAGAACCATCTGCGTCTGTTTATAAACGGGGTTAATCCTAAAATAGTCTGTCACCGCTCGAACTCAGGGGATTAAGGCTCACTGATGCTCCTCTTTGTGGATGCTAAGTGTTTCCTGGTATTGTGGTGCTCACGTCCGGGGGTTGAACAGTTGTGTCTTGTCCACTCCGAGTCCCTTATGTAATGGACCGTTTCCAAGATAAATCTGTGAGACCTAATTCCATTTAATTTCATTCAATTTCAATGTTTTTCTTTAGCAAGTGTTAAAAGAACAATCAGAAAGCACTTAATATATTAAAAAAATCTGGTGCAGTGCACGCGTCACAAAACTTTCACTTACTGCCCAATATTGAGTAGAAATAAGAGGGAAAAAAATTGAAGATCGTACTGTAAGATCGTATTTAAAACAATTAATTACCATACATTTTTCCCATGTATCCATTAAATTTAATATTTTTTCGTCACTGTCCGAATATATTTTTATTATTTCTCTATTAATTATAACTATATAAAAATATAGCAATATTAATTATAACAGTTTTTTATTTATTTAGACATATAATATTCTGTCTCGAGGACAATAATTATATTGATAAATGAACACATTCAAACCATATATACAAAAAATATAAAATTAACAAAAGTAAAATAATAATAAATAAAAACTATGTACAATAAAAAATAAAATATAATATATCCTAAATATAAGTAAATTAAAAACATAAAAACACAGTCATACCTATATACAATATAATTATAACAGTGACATATTTTTTTAATGTTACTAGAGCTGGTGGTAAATGAATCCGCTAAATTTATTTATATTTCATTGTGGGCATTTTTAATTGTTTACAGTAGCTGATCGAGGTTTTAATTTTGGAAGGACTTCAATCCGAAATCTATTTTTTTTTTTTTTTGTGCATATAAAGATAATTACTTCGGAAGAAAAAGAAAGAAACTAACTATCTATATGGAATGATTTTTGAAGTAACATTAAAACACACAAAAAACACATAATTACACGAATAATGATACTTTTAGGGATAATTTTGTAAATATATTTTTATAAGATATGGTTATATCTCGTAGCTTTATGTGCATTTAATTAAAAAAATAGAAAAAACTGTGATAGTTTTAAGAAACCTCTTTTTCTATGATAAAAATAAAAGCATTTAAAATTTTTAATCGGCTGCTACTTTGAAACGGAATATAAACGTCCAGTTATTTCGATTCCTATAGCTCCTGCTACCGCCTCATAGAGAGGCGAATTTTTAAATTTTGATTCAGCGTACCTTTTACTTTTTTTTTTTTGCAAAGATTAACTTGCCAAAAACTACCAGTGATTATCTTTGAAGCAATTAAAAAAAAAATTATTAAAAGTGAAATTTTATTTTATTTTTAAGTTGAGTTTCGATAAGAACAAAATATTTATAAATACTCAGCGTACAAGATTTCAGCTTCTGTGTATACATTTTTGCGTTTGTCAATGGAAATTCAATTTCCGGCCGCCGACATTCCAACAAATGTGCCACTACCGGCGTTTCCTAGGCCCGATACGTTTTTAGATTTATTTTAGTTTTCTTCCCTTGCTTCCAGAAAATATTATATTTTCGTTTTTACCTTACGTGAATTATAGTTATTTGAAAGCTGTTATTTAAAACTCGTACCTAGCTTTTCATCCATCAAATGTTTTTTGAGCAATCTTTCAATTGTTACTTTTAATAGGTAGACAGTCTGTCAATATTGAGAGTAAGAAAAAACACCCTTCTTTTTACAGTCTCATTTATTTATCTTTCGGAGCTTTCGATGCTCTGCAGCAAATTCATCTTTGCAATGCTCGTTCCATCCATTTTTTGGATTCGTTCTTTGAATAAATTTTATCAATCATTGTAGATTGGTGTCTTAATTTACAAATACAATTTATTTAGACTTTTCCATTATAGGTGAAGAGATAACACCTATTGTACTTCACGTTGTCATTAACAGTAGAACGAAATCCATGAAAATGGATGGAACGAGCATTGTAAAGATGAATGTGGCGTAGAGCACCAAAAGCTCCAAAACATAAATAAATCAGACAATATGAAGTATATCATGTATGAAATATGAAAGTAAAAAGAAAGGAGTTTTTTCTTTCTTTCAATTGTTTTTATACGGTTTTCATGGCCTAATTCTTCACTGGGTTCCATTAGCGTTTTAATATTTTTTTTAAGAGGTGCAAATCTTCTCACAATACGCGATTAACTAATTTCCTAGCCTTCGCCATTACAGAATGTAAATATAATTTCAAAGTGTATTACTACGCAAAATTATGCAAGTACCAAGTGTACATACCTGTCATGATGTTGTCCCTGACAATGAGTACATGGTTGTCTCGGTCTGGGCGGGTGTGTTCATGCCAGAACCCAACCACGTGTCCCAGTTCGTGGACGACGATGCCGAACTTGTCGCAGTTCTTGCCGATGGATATCGCCTGGGGGCCATTTCCTCTTTTGCCGACGAATGAGCAGCAACTGAGAATAGAGATTTTTTTATATTAGCATAAGTTGTCACACAAATGTGTGTATATTGGGTTGGTAAATAAGTCCTTTTAGTTTTTCAGAGTGAAATAAAACTCAATGTATAATAGACATTAAATTTATTTCAATCTACAATATATTGACCGTTATTTGATATGACTTATTCCCATCTTTCCATTAACTGCAAAATTCCATGTTCATAGAATGTTTGGAGTTTATTGTTAAAAAACTGATCCATGTGATTTTGGATTTCCTCCTCCTTTTAGATTTTTTTTCCAATCATGGAGTTCTGCGGAGACCAGTATAAGTAGTAGTCACCTGGACTTGGTCTGGTGAATAGGGAGAGTGGGGCAAAAGCTAAAACCCAAGGCTCAATAATTTATTGCGATTGATCAATGATGTGTGGGGCCTAGCGTTGTCTTGGTGGAACACAACACCCTTTCGATCATTCATAACTCTTTAGGATGTTCTCCAAATTCGAGGTTACTATATCCTTTGGAAAGCTGAATTATTGCTCTTCAGAGTCGTATGAACGGTGTTTGGATTTAATGCCTACATAAGGAATAAATAAACAAAAACTCCTTATACGTTTTTAGTTTTTATTTCCGTTTTTAGTTTGTATGCGAAGGTGCTGCTGATGTAATTTTGTGTAGTTTATGTGGCCCTATATTTATGTTGTATTTCTTTAGATAGCTAAAGTCTAATTGAAGTTATAACATTTTTTGTGATTTTCGAAAAAAATCATGTGAGGGTCCCTAAGGAGATTTCTACGCTTGTGTGCGACACATTTAGGGCCACAGCAAACTCTCGCTCTGATTGGGTGGGATTTTGATCAACAATGGTCTTAATATTGCTCGTTTCAATTGCATGTGGGCGACCAGACCGTTGAGCATCATTGATGTCAAAGTTTTCTGAATGAAATTTGGCAAACCAATTTTGGCAGGTGATTTCGGTAAATCCATCATATTCATAAACACCGCAAATTTTTCTGAGCTTCTGCAGAACGCTTTATTTTTTAAAAAATAATACAACAAAATAATGAATGCTATTTTCTTCTATATTCACAATGCAATAGCAAACACGATACAATAGCACATCTTGCCCCTCTCTACCTACCTCCCCCTCTCCACGAAGTCTGTTTAATATACCGTTTTGTATTTGTAGCAATTGATTATATTTAGTTTACATCTTAAGCGTTGAGTATACTTTCGTTTCATTGTATATCAACCAATTTATTACAAAATTGAGGTTTATGCCTAGATTCTAGATATAATTTTTGAGAAAATATTGCATCATGCTTTTAAGCGGCAAATATTCCGCATTCCGATTCGAGGAGACACAAAGATTAAGGCGTAGAAAATTTACCATTTAATAAAAAGATTATAGCATTTATTTCCTTATTCTTTAGGAATTAACTTTTCCCGAGAAATTTCAAGCATGGACGATAAGGCACTCGGTGGATTTTAACCACTAACTAAAGCTACCTTTGTGCTGCTCAAACATCTGTGATCTTCGAATCCTCCTCAGATTGGCAAATGTTTGTACCCTATATTATTCCGTTTAGTTTCGTCCCTTTGCTCTCTTCACTTGATAAAACAGTCTCAATATTAATGTGGGTTTGCAGGAGTTAGGACTTGGTTATCAAGATCGGTAATTAGTTTCCTGACATTGGTCTTCGTGGTTAAAGATGTCAAATGGGGAGATTATTTGACTTAATTCATTTTCATACGGTAATCGTGCTGAATATTTTTTGTGATTGTTTGCGAAATGATAAATTTTCGTCATGAGGACGAATATATCGTCGGTTTATTGCAAAAAGTCATTAATTTGAGATGATCAAATTTGAAGTTTCCGATTCAATAAATAATCATTAAGCAATTTGATTTTTTTTTTGTTATTAGCAATTCTAAATATATAATTTATTTTCAGGCAATTAATTAAAATACTTAACATATACAATACCAGATAGTGAAGTATGGCGTTCTATTTTAACATTTAGAGAACAAGAAATCATTAAGTACCAACTTTTTGCTTTGAAAAGTCAGAACTTAGTGAAATTATTTTTTAAGTATGTAAGGCTTTGTATTATTTTTATGCATTTAATGAGTTTTTGTCTCGATAAATATGAACTAAATTAACAACTACGTACCTACCGGTCAAATTCAACCCGTGATTTTTTACAAGAAACAAACGATATGTTAAATTACGTAAACTCCACAACTGAAGTAATCGAAGTAAATTATGATAAATACAGTCTAATGGAACAATTTTAATTGTTATAGTACCATAACTGAACTTATAAATATTGTTAACAATCATACATACCCACATGGTCGCTCGGTAAACACGATGAAGTTGGGATGCTCCGATGGTACTCTCTCGACAAACTTGACGCAGGTGAAGTTCTCCCAGTGGCGCATGGCCTGCTTGAAAAGCGCTTTGTGAGCTCCGGAAAAGTTTCCGTCGATCTCGTAGGGTATGACACCGTACTCCCAAACCCGGTCCTTCCTCGCCGTTGCTGCTCTTCTCTTCCTGCTGAGTGGTTTGACCGTCGTCCTGAAAAACGAGTGTGAAATTAGCATTGTTTAACTCAATTAAACCTACGTATCTCTTTCTTAATTCAAAGGTATTGAGATCCTCAAATTAAGGGTGTTATAATAAAACCATTACGGCTGAGAGACCTGGACACTAACCACAACCCAAGAAAAAAGTATTGAAAGATTTACGAGAAAAATCCTGATCACTATAACCCTAGCGATCTGGGATCAGAGTACTAACACATCGAGAAGAATGACCAATAAATAACTGCTTCCAGAAATCGGTCAATTATTATCCCATGATATGAAGGCACGGAGGTTATGATGGGCGGAGCATGTATGTAACTCGTAGCAATCCATCTGGAAGTCTATACGTAACAATGAAAGTCTCAATAAAAAGCAAAATACCAAAATTCAGATGGGTAGATAAAATCAACAAGCAGGCAATAGAGCTGCATGCAGGTAACTGAAATGAAATAGCCCAAGACAGGCAGGGATGGACCAGGCGGCAAAAGATCTACATGGTCTGTGACGCCAAAAGAAAAAAAGTCTGTAAAATTTATTAAATTAAGATTATCTGGAACTTAAATTAATAATTAAGTTAAAATAGATTTTAAATAAAAAAGTATTATTTTTTGGAAGATAATGACTGTGTGATCAGTGCTTTTTTTTTAGTTTTGTTTATAAAGGGTGTAAGTATAATGCGAGCAATTTAGTGAATTATAGTGTATGAAAGGCAGAGTGAAAAAAAGCGTGAGAGAAACTGATTTCCTCTTTCTGAATAGGGAGATTGGAGACGCACAACAACTGAAAAAGTAAATAACCAGTATGACTTGAAGGTTCTTTTTAATGCATGTATTTAGATTTTATTATATTGTTACTAATATACCCGTTACTAATATACCTGTTACTAATATACCTAGACAAGTGTCCAGCTTTGACGGGCATAACAAATAAAACATTTATGAATGATTATATAAAAAAATCAAACTTATACTGGGCAGCAAGCTGTCGGATGGTCGAATGACCAATGACTATGGCAGAAGAAAAAAACCAAAAAAAACAAAAACGAATATAGCCTTATGTACACAATGTAGATAAAATGATTCTGTATTTGATCGAACTGTTAATGTATTCTTCTAATATTAAACGGATTGGATGAATACTTTGAAAAAAAAAATTAGACTGATCTTTCAGTTAGATAATAATTTTCCAACAGAAAATATGAACTTTTATAAAAGTGGAAGTGATAAAATATAGGTATTTAAACGAGAAGGGCAGGGGTTTTAAATTCGAAATAGGATGAGGGCTATAATGTTCACAAGGCAGTTATTGGAAAACCATTGATGCCTCTTGATACAAATAACGAGAATTTTCGCATTTCCACCAATCTCATATTGTAATATAGCTCAACTTATTTCTTATACTATATTTCGATTTCTTCTTTTTACATATTTTATTGTTTTGTTTTTTTCCTTACTGAGTATTGTAGTAATGTTATGTATTATTTTTATTCTTATTTCAACATAGGGAAAATCTTGAAAATTTGTTGACTTGAACAGTTGATTTAGGACTAAAAATACGTTTGGCTATTGGATAAGAATTATGCGCAAAAAATCGATAAATCATTATCATTCAAGAAATTATTTCTTTTCATTCTGTTTATGTGGATGAATGAACTATGAATGAATGAAATAATAATTTAAAATTACTTTTAGAATTTCAAAAATTATTAAAAGAACTATGTAGGTTTTTTACAAATAGATTTGATAATGTTTTGAGGTAGTGCATCATACTTCGATCAAGGTTTTCTAATCTTGATCTGACAATATGTAATCAAAATTAATTTCTTTTATTGTTATTTATGACGTTATTGACTAAGAGATTTTGCAATTCTCTTATCAATCCCTCCTCCCTCCGTCCTTTGTCAGTTCGTGTTATTTATTCTCAATGTCACGTAGAGAATATCAGTAATATATGTTTTCATCGTACTTTATAATTTATCAATTAGTTTTGTTTTAAAGATTAGCTGTAATTAAAAACCAATATATTTATATGTATCAGTCGATATATTTGTATAATATAAACTAGCTCTCAAAAATAAGAGTAATTTTTTTAACTTAAATTATATAACTCAAAAATAGTGATTATAGAATTATTTTTAGTCTGTTTAATAATAAATCAAAGTTATTGTGGAAAGTAAAAATAAAAAGATTTTTTTTAAATAATAAAAATCTAGTTATGATTTATGAAAAATAATTCACAAATTCTAGTGTTGAAAGATGAATTTGTATGAATTATTTATCCAGTATATTGCCTTGTTTTCATGTTCGTTTAAAAAAAATGATTATATACCTATTAAAAAAATAATAATAATGTATGTGCTTCAGACCACACGATAGAAGTGAAAACAGCAACAAGACGAGATTAATAATATGAAACATAAATTATAAATAATAGCTCATTATTAGAGGGTCAAATGCTCGATATTTCTCTTACAGTATGCAGGTCCGATTTTTAGCTTCTTAGATATTTTAATCCATATCTTCCGTAAAACCCTTTAATTTGGGTATGCGGTTCTATTGTATCCCAATGTTTTTCAATTATTTTTATTACATCTTTTCAATTGATGTTGGTAAATAAATTTTCTACGTCAAAACAGACTAAACAATGTTTACTTATTGTCTATTTTATTTATTCTTTCAAGCATTTAATTCACCTCCATTGAGTTTTTTATTGTACCATCTGAGTTTAGGTTATTGAGTGTGAAACTGCGATATTTGGAAAACATTTTCAGTTTCTCCATTAATATTATAGATGATAGGACAAAGTGGAGTACCACTTTTATGTAACTTTACTAATCCATGTATTCTAGGTGTATTGTAGTCAGTGTTAATTAGTTCAATTTCGTTTAATTAAAAACTTTTAAAGTTAATAACAAAGTTCTATTGCATAAAATATAGACATCAAAGCAAGTTAAATCTAAAAATGTTCTTAATGATTTATAATTTACTTATTTAAATTAATAAAATTTGCTAGTTCACGTTGTATCCAACGAATGTATAACATTTATGTGGAAATCTCCAATTGGAAGGTTATGTAATGTTAAATTATTATATATCTTCCATTATGCCTAAGAATTTCTGCTATTATTATCATTTATATTATTTCTCTTCTTATTTTTCATATATTGTTAATGTCAAAATAAAATTTCAATGTTGTAATAATATTAGCATAAACTCGTTATCATTTGGTTTTGGACACTATTTTCTTTTTCACTCTCCTACTCTCTAACGCGGTGTTTAGTTATATATAAATATAACTAAACACCGCTAATTTTGTCTGTATATTTTATCTATATATAGATAAAATTTTGAATATCAGCTCACTACAATGAAGACAAAATGCTAAACATTTCTCTCTCTTACAGTATGCAGGTCCGATTTTTAGTATCTGAAATATTTTAAGCCATATATTCAACTAATATCCTAGTTTTCATTTTGTTTTCGACACTATTTTTTCCTTTTCGCCTTCCTAACCCGACGTCACGTTAAGATACAATATTGAATTATAGTTTATTACAGACAGGATGAAATGCTGAACAATTTCCTCGCATGCATATGTAGGCCCGATTTTTAGTTTCTGAAACATTTTAAACCTTAATAATTTTATATATGATATTTTTAAACCATATATAAAAACATTTCAATTAGTCGACTATAGCCGACTTTACCCGAGCGTTAAAATGTGACGGATCAATCTAATTCACTTTCCACAAAAAAGTGCAAAACGTGCCTAAAGAAATTTTCACTTCAAAAATTATGTTTGGAAAAACGACATAATCGTTGTAGAAAGTTTGTGGAATATCTTTTTGTTGTACTTAAAAGAATACTGAATCACCTAAATTATGTGTATTTTTGAGTTCTTGAAACATTGTTTGGGTTTACCTCATTCGCATATGCACACCTGATTTGTAATAGGAGGTAAGCACGTGAAAGAAAACCAGCAAAACATTCAGTATCAAAGAAGTTTTTTAATCCAATAAAATTATTAACTTTTTTTTTCTTTGCCTCTGCTGTGCTGAGTCATATATGTAGAATGTGTTATATAGTTTTACTATTTTAAAGAACTCAAAACTTTTTTTTCAGCTGTTTCGCAGTCGTTCAAATTTTCTTTTGGGCTTGTTAGACCCAATGTTTTTCTTAGAATTTTAAATGTATGGCAGTCTTGAATAATGTGTTCAACAGTACATTACAACTCTCTGGTTGTGGATGGAGATGTTGGAGATTCAAGTCCTATCGGTAAATAGCCATGTGAGAACTTAGAATCAGTGGCGTATCAAGGATGGGACAAGTAAGACACCTGCACTCGGCATCATTCAAAGGGGGCGAAAAATTTGCAAAGTATTACAAATTTTTAATTTGTAAAATTTACAACAGTTAAAATCATTTGAGAGTAATACAATGACATGAGAACACTTGTAAAAAAAAATTGGTAGCACTCTAATAAAATTACTAAATTAGAAGATCACGAGACATCTTCTTTCAGACTTAAAAATCCAATAATAGACACCTTCATCTAAATAATCTCTTGATTCCTGTACCTAGTGAGCTGTGGTGAATGGAGGGAAAGAGTATCCGAGGAGTTCTTCTAATAAAGCTAAAGTTAACTAAGAAAGTATGTATACTCACGCCATAATCTGCAAATTAATATCTCTTTTAAGTCTTTATGTAGAAAAATGCTGTCAAAAAAGCGAAATACTACAAAAAGATTTAAATTTTTAAATTTCTTTATTATTGTGATTATGTCATCTAGGTTTGCTCTGTGTTGAGCGAAAAGCAACGGATAAAACCGATTTTCAAAACATTATCGATATGTTTGCGATGCAGAAGGTCAGGAAGGAGCGATTGTAATCGTAACGGTTTTACGAAATTACTTTTGTAATAAAATAGTAAATAAATATGTTTCGTAAGATTTATTTTGTCATAATCATGATTTACAAAATCAACCTTGATGTTG